GGCGAGGCCCAGGGCGTCACACTCGGGACATCCGCCACGAGTAAGGGCAGCCTCTGCGTGGTCCGGTCTTAAGCAGCGGGTGCAAATGATGTGACGATCCCCGTCCTGAAGAGGGCCTCGACACGAGGCGCAGGAAGTCATTTGAAACAACGCCTTGAATTTGCTCTTTTAGAAAAGTGTCGTGGGGGCGAACACTGTAAGCTTTTGAAAAGGATATAAGGTGATGCGCGCCGGATGGCTTAGCAGAAGGCGATCGAAGGCAGCTGAAGGCGCCGGCGTCCTCGAAGCAGTCCTGCTGTAGGCTTGTCGACGGCGGCGGCGAAAGACTCCAAGAAATCCGGAGGATCCAGCGAAGAGAAGGTCTTTGCTGAAGGAGATTAAATCTAAAGAACTCAGACGACGGGGCGCCCAATATATAGCCTTTGGCCACGCCCATCTTGGCGGGCTCTGACGCGCGCGGGCGCGAAGCACGCTCATTGGAAGCGGGTTCAGAGTCGCCCCGTCATAGGTTCGTGCAGTTGCCGCAGCACAGCCAATGACCGAGCTGCCTCGCTCATTGCTGTATGCTGTGCAGCTGCAATGCGTTTTACATAAAGACTTCAATATTTCTCGAGAAAAGGAGTTTTCCCATAGCGTAAGCTACTTACGCAATAGGAGGAACCTCTCGAAAGGGAACTAGAGTTTGCTCAAACTAATCTCGAACTTACCTAGGTAGCAACTGAAACCAGCTTTGTGCAACAGACCACAGAATCAGTTGAACCAAATGCAAAACAAGAGCTCAAAACAGAAAACACAGAGTGCTGGCAGCACCTGCTGGTCAAAACTGTGTAAATGCAATGAAAACTGCAGCCTAAACACTTGTAATGACACTTTTTCAAGCTAAATTAAAATTTTCGTGCAACTGTAATCTATTAAATATAACCTAAAAAATATTAAATACCATCGTAGCTACCCCTGTAAGAGTATGTTTATCAGTAAACACTAAAAAAATCAACAATTATTAAACACAAAAATGCAGCTCTCTTATTTAAATACATTTTCTCAAACCAATGCACTTCAAGCTTCACGGAGTGAATAAACCTTCAATTGTAATTGTGCTTGAGATATTGTATAGGCTATCCTACATTAAAACATTACTCCCCGTATAAGTTTGCATCCATTTCAAACACACATAATGATATAATCACACATTTACCTTTTAACCAAACAGAATAACTCACAAAATAACAGAATAAAATTTACATTTAATCATCTCACATACTCATTTACTGTATGGTTTGCGCGCCAACCGCGTGACTCGGGTCAAAATATGATTATGTCAAAACATAACTAACACCACCTGATCAACTTTTCTCTTTCTTCATCTGGCAGTTATAACTCAGATACAACAGAATATAAAGTTAACAGTTTAAGGGTAAAGCAACTAAAGCAAACACTGATCACCATAACGGTATTTAAAAAAAAAAGATTTTCTCCATTGCTGATTCTGCTTGTTTACATCAGGTCTCTTCAATAATGGTCAATCATCACTCAATGAATCCCTTAATTATCTCATTAACTTTAACACCTTGAGGGTTAATTTAACACTCATATTTTAACACTTTAACACTCTTGAGTCTTCAGCCATATAAACTTCCAGCAGAGTTCATTTAACACTGGAGTTTTTGCTGTGTATTTGTAGGAAATAAAGATGACCAAATAAATTGTGAATCATTTTGTGTGTATTTAACAGCTGTGGTGGTGGTGGTTACGGCATATATCTCGGACTATCCTTCCATCTGGCATCCTTCCATTCCATACAGTAATCTGTTTCATTTTCGGAAGGTGCGATGATGCATATGCATGTCATCAATGCATCCGACCATATTAGAAATCCTAAAGGATATTCAAATTATTAAGTTACTTTCAGTGGTCACAGCAAGATGTTATCAAAGGAACGTAATTTTTTCATTTTTTATTTTTCATCAGATTAGACTCATTTAAACCGATTTCTCCACCACTGTCATGCAATAAACTCCTTTGATGGATCTCATGGGTTTGTGTCCAGGAAACAACACAAAAACTCAGAAAGAGCATGAGAGAGAGGCACACTTTCCTTCGAGGCATGCTTTCACATGCGAGGCATGCTTTTCTTACTTAGCATTTTTGGCTTGTGGTTTCCAGTCAAAATATCTAAAGATTCTTAGATCAATGCATTTACTAAAAGAAAAACTCTGGGTTTACATTAGAAAACCTGCTCCCAGCCAGGTTAGGTTCACAGAGTGAGTTATGGTAACTGACTCTGACTATTAGTTACCTCTCTTTCAAAAACAAGCTTGACTTACTCTGCTTTTTCGGGTTTTACATAATTCCCATTCTGAAATGGAAAACCCAGAGTTTCCCTCATTTCAGGGTTAACATACTCAGAGTTTTCACTTAACCTCCTTTCTGAAACAGACCCCCGGACTAAATGTTTTTTGTTCGTTTTTTGGTCCGGAATCTGGACCAAACGAACCAAACTACAAATGTGAACACATCCTCAATCTCTCTTGTGCAAATACTGAATCTCTCTCTCAGATATCTTTCAGAGGTTTGGACTCTCTGTTTGGAAAAAACGTTTGGCCTCTTGCCTATGTTATATACCTGAGCTATAATTATTGTCATGTTGTATATTAACATGAAAACAACAAGTTAAGCAGGCATAAAGGCAGCGTGCCATATTCCAAAATGCAAGCCAGTGGATCAGAAATGGTTCTGAAGGACTGTTATGCAAGAAGAAGGTCACATAGGCCTGAAGTTATGAAAAAACTAAAGCATGTGCTGGTGGAGCTAAAGTGACAAGTAGCCTGTGAGAGAAACACGTTTTTGCATTTACATATGAAAGCATTCACGCATGTATCTGTTATCTCTATAAGCATGATAGCATTTCACATGATAATATACTTTCTGCTACTTACTTTCTTTCATTATTATGCAACTCATTTCTCACCTACATAACACATTCTTGTCTGCTGCTAATCATTAAGCTAAACATGACTTATTTTGATGCGTTTAATTCAGTTTTCCCAATTCACATAAATAAAGATTAAAACTTGGGCTAAAAGTAAAGTAAGGTATTTCAATTATACTAAAATAACAGTCCTGCAAATAAATATGCATTCTGTAAATATTTTTACAATGGTATACTGGTAATGTTTTCTGTGTGAGGACAATAAATATGCGAATATGCAACGCTATCTCACGACCAATTCGTACGAATTCGTACGAGTGATTAAAAGGTGGCTAATTCGTATTCATACGACCTCACTCGTACGAATTCGTACGATTTGTCTAAACCCACTTGATGGGTAGGTTTAGGGGCGGGGTCAGGGGTAGGTCATTCGTACGAATTCATACGAATTTGGTAACTCGTAAAATATGTACGAATTAGCAAAAATCGTACGAATTTGTACGAGTGAGGTCGTATGAATTAGTACGAATTAGCCACCTCGTAAAATTCATACGAATTGCCGTGAGATCGGGCTGGAATATGCAGTGTTGGGCAGTAGCGTCGCTAGTGACGCTACTAGTTTAACTTAATTTCTCAGTAGTGTGGTGGTAGCGTCGCTGTTTTCTGAATCAAATAGCTTGTCAGTAGCGAAGCTCTTTTTTTGATCAAGTAGTGCGGTAGCGTCCACACAAGCTACATTTTCCCAAGAATTTCTAAAGCTCAAGCTCAAATCGGAAATACAAGTATCACTGATGCTGGATCAGGAAGTGACGGTGACTTCTTCGTGTTTCACCGCGGTTGGCAACCATAGGGCCATATGATTTCATACCTGCGATGCGGAAAACATGGACGGAATCGCGGAATTCAGGCATAAAAACTGAATTTACTGTATAACGTGGAATTTGTCAGATCTTGGATGAAAAGTAGGTCAGTAAACTAAAATAGAATCGCGATATAGACTAGTGACTGTGAGTATTAAGACAATTTAAATATGAATCATGTTCTGCGTGTCTCTGAATAAATGGCGCAAACGCACGCTTTAATTTTCCACACACGGAGGTAAGCATGACGCTCGCAATGTTTTCAGCCTATATGAGGACATTAATGCATGAAATTCATCTACACAGCCACTTCAGCAGCATTTTAGCTTGATTTGAGAAAAACTATCGTCATATCATAAAAACACAGAGAGAAAGGTCTACACGGCAACCTTTAACCTTTGAAGAAAGTTTTGCTTAAATCATTCAATTTGAAATAATTGGTTATTACAATTTAATTGAACCATTTAAAATTATTGTTAAATTGTATAAGTTTAATGATTTCAATTAATTAGAAATGCTTTTTGATTACTACAATTTCATTTAACCATTAAAATGGGAGTCCAAAAAAAAATACAACGGAAAAAAACAGATTTTGGAATGTGGAAAAAATAAAATGGATTTCATAGGGCCCTACAACTAGATTTTTGGTGCATTAATTGCCACCACCTTCTGCTCCGGACGGTTACATCACGTACCAATCTCAATCCTTGGGCTGACACGTGAGCAATGTACTTAATAGAAAGATGCACACACTCTCGACACCTGGTTTTGTTATAGTTTTATATAGTTATAGTTATGGTTTTGCCTTTTTGTTGCCAAATTGGTTTGGAACAGTTGTTGAATAAACAATTGAACTGACAAATTATGCCTGCCTATCTGTTTGACAGACAGTTTTATTGACCACTGAGATAGCATTGACTTGGAATGAAGTTTGTTCAATATAAAAAATGAAATTAAAAAAAAAAATTGCTTAGATGTAGTAAACTACTTTTACCATATTGCTGTAGCTTAGCTTGCTACATTTCCCAGGGTGGTAGCTTCAGTGTAGTGAAGCTACATTTAATGTAGAGTAACTGCTAGCTTAGCTCACTACATTTCCCAAGTAGCTTGCCCAACACTGCGAACATGCATTACATAACAGGTGAGTCACAGCTTACAGACACACCTTTTTGCACACCGCACTGTATGCAAATAACCAGGAAACATTTCAGTTCTTTAGTTCAGGGAAACCGAAACTCATCAAAAAAGGTTGTTGAGCAGTTGTGTGTGCTTCTGTTTCTGTGTTCACATGCTGTAATATGGCTGAAGCCAGTGTTTTATGGACTCAGGAACAGTTCATCTGTCCAGTGTGTCTGGATCTTCTGAAGGATCCAGTGACCATTCCTTGTGGACACAATTACTGTAAATCATGTATTGCGGACTGCTGGAACCATCAGGATCAGAAGATAGTCCACATCTGCCCACAGTGCAGACAGACCTTCACTCCAAGACCTGCTTTAAATAAAAACACCATGCTGGCTGAAGTGGTGGAGACACTGAAGAAGACTAAACTACAATCTGCAGTTTCTGTTGACACTGGACCTGGAGATGTGAAGTGTGACGTCTGTACTGGAAGAAAAGACAAAGCAGTCAAGTCCTGTCTTGTGTGTCTGAACTCTTACTGTCAAAACCACCTTGAACAGCATGAGAATTTTTTCATAGGTAAGAGACATTATTTGATGGATGCCACTGGACAACTCCAGAAGATGATCTGCTCTCAACATGGCAGACTGCTTGAGGTTTTCTGTCGCACTGACCAGCACTGTATTTGTACATTATGTACGATGGATAGACATAAAAATCATGACACTGTACCAACAGCAGCAGAGAGAACAGAGAAAGAGGTAAGAACAGAAATTGGTGCATTAAAGCTACAATATAATTTTTTTCGCCGCTTGGGGTCGCTAACCTCTTACAATAACAAAGATGTAGGTTGATGACGCAGAATTCCAGTGGAATTATGGAACTTGTCGTCAAGCTGATGGATCTAATAATGTTTATGGATGAGTGAATACATTTATGTTTTTAACATGATAAAGTAGGGCGCGATTGCTAATGAGAGACAGATATCAGTGCCACACGCGAGTCCCGCGGATATAAAGGAATAAAGACATTTCATTCTACCGAATTACCCGCAAGTGCTGTATTGATACTCACACAGGTCAGTTTATTAAACGAATGAAACTTGTGAGGTAACACAGCGCTGTTTCACTTGGTCTACACACACTAAACTGCATTTGAGTGTTGAAAGTTATAATGTTATTCTATGTGTTTGTTTGTTGGCTATATGAGACTAGCAGTAAGCTAGATCAACATTAGAATAACATACAGATCATGTTCTAACATTTCATCATGTTGAACTATATAACATTGATTAGTTTTATGTACATTTGCTCATCTGTCTAACTAAAGTACATGCAAGAGTCTCTGTCAAGTCGAAGTTTGTCACGGACGTGGAGCTCTCGGCATCTCGAAAACGCCACATTGATATTGATCCTCGTTTTAGTTCTCCTTTTTTCCCAAAGTCTGCTTGCCATGGTCCATTGTGTTTGAACGGAACAACAACAACAGCGTAAGCTTGCCGCTAGACGTAACGCTGTTGTCCACTTCTGTCGCCATGGTTACTATGGCCGTACAAGCCGAAACCAGGGATAATGCGAATATTACGTCATTGACAGGCAACAAGTAAACAGGGAGTCCGGGACGGCTACGCTGAAGCGATAAAAATTCTGTATTATAAATTTTAAGGCGGGACAAGTAGTTTGTTGAGGGATGTTTTTTTAGGGAAGAAAAACGCCATCGGCGTTCTCACGGGTTCGCGTTTTTGAATTTTGCGTAGAGTTTTCTGTTAAAACGGTGTCGTGTTAGCGGCCCCTAAGTTAATAACTGATGATCGTTGCAACGGAGGTGAATCGATCAAAGCTGACTCTAGCTTGAGATTAACTTTATTCTGGAGCTGCTGTAGAACCAGAACAATCTCTGTTACTTTAATTTCCTATTATCACTGTAAATCCGCTTTGGAACAATCCTGTTAAAAGCGCTATATAAATGAAGATGACTTGACTTGACGGCACATTATTTGAAATTGAAATTTTTCTGAAATTAAAAATCTTTGGGAACTTTTGGGATATTGTAAGTACACAACTGCAGGAAATATATCATATTTTGCAAGTGATTTTTGGATATTTTATTACAAGAATAATTAGCAAAAACAAATAATCGTTTTCGTAATTTTAAGCTCTTTACTTCGCGGGAAATCTGACCTGTGGCTGTTTAGGGAAATGCCTGTAGGTCTATATGGCTTCACGGTCGTGAAGTTAATTACTGAGGCGATTAACCGCTGTCCTGTGACGTGCTCAATGAAGGACCGTCATGTCGAACACATCGCTAGTCCTAAACGGCTGTTCATAATGTATGCGTCTGTGGCAGTGTAATGGGAAATAACACAAGGTAATGAGACGCAAGTTGAACTTCTTTAAACTTGAGCGCAGCATTTTTAGAAATTTTTTAGAATTTTACTTGTTAACAGCAAAACAAGTCCGTCAAGCACAAAAAAAACTTTAATGTACTACTACTACTACTGTATGTTTGAGATGTCGCGTTTTCATGAAAGTTGACAGGCTGAAAGGTGCTGTTATTATCTTTGTTCTTACAAAACATTTACTGCTAATAATATTGTCCATGTGGAGACATTTCCCCACAATGTAGACAATAGCAGGACACGAATCACACAAGCGCACACACACACACATACACACACAGAGTTTGGTAACAAACACCCACTATCTTTGTGGGGACTCACTCTCCATAGACGTAATGGTTTTTGAAAACGGTATATTCTGTCTCCTTACACTAACCCGTATCGTGCAATTGTTCTCCCAGCTCTTCTATATGGAGCAGAATCTTGGACAGTTTATTTGACCCAAGCACACAACCTCATTGCCTACATGATGAGACACCTGAGACAAATTCTAGGCATTAAATGGTGGCACCATATATCCAACAACGAGTTACTAGACAAAACCAACACATGTATGAAGCACTAATCCAGCGCAATCTGAGATGGGCTGGCCATCTGACTAGACTGGACAATAGTCGACTACCAAAACAGATTATCTACTTATTATTATCACCGTGGCATAGGCAGGCCAAAGCTGCGCTTCAGTTAAAAAGAAATCTCAAACATAAACAGATCCCACTAGGCAGCTGGGATCGCCAAGCAAAAAACAGGACTCTGTGGAGAAATCTAATTCGAAGGAAGTCGTCATCGGACACGATGGACAGCAATTGATTGATTGATAATCATAATAAAAAATATTATTGTATCAGTTACAAGGCATATTTGTTCAGTGATAACAAAGAAAACAGATTGGCTGTAAAACCAAGAAAACAGATAGGCTGTAAACCATAGTTATAGTTATAATTGTACGCACTTCCGGGTAAAGCCCTGCCCACTTCCAGTTTTATTCAAATACAGATATGAATAATTTAGAGATTGTAACAGATACAGATATTGGCCCCGCTGCACAACCCTAGCTTAAATTACATGTCAGTCACTGCTTACAGACACCTTTTTGCACACTGCACACAAGAATTGCAATTGACTTTTGCAATATCCACATGGTATTTGACTGTTGTGCTCGTGTGCCTCTGGCAAAAACACCTATATAATATTCATACAACATTTTACATGATGATTTTGTATTTATTTTTATGAAATATTTTCTGTTACTTCTGTTTTCAATAGAGAAACTTAAAAAAAACACAGATAATATACCAGGAGAGAATCCAGGAGCGAGAAAAAGACATTCAGGAGCTGAGAGAGGCTGTTGAGTGTCATAGGGTGAGTATCGTGAGGAGACAAACAGCACTGCTGGATTAAAAGACGTATTGTTTAGACTCTCCTTCAGATCTGAAGACATTGCAGTCCCACTGAAGCCCACTGTGGATCACATGATGATTGTAATGTGTGTCCTAACAGCGATCTGCACAGGCAGCAGTGAAGGACATCGAGAGGATCTTTACTGAGCTAATGCGCTCTATTGAGAAAAACCGCTCTGAGTTGACAAGGCTGATCAGAGATCAGGAAAAGGCTGCAGTTAGTCAAGCTGAAGGACTCTTGCAGCGAATGGAACAGGAGATTGCTGATATGAGGAGGAGACATGCTGAGTTAGAGCAGCTTTCACACACAGACAATCACATCCAATTCCTTCAGGTAATAGAAATGTAGAAAATAATTTCAGTGTTGTGATTGTCCATCATTTACTGGCTCTCTAATCAATTAAAGTGAAATAAAGTTTAATTCAAAGTGCTAGATTAGTTTGCTGAAGGCAAGTCACTCAAGGTAAGACAACAAAGGCATGTATTTGACTGTAGTAGAGATTTGTAGGAGGCAGGTTATAACGATATCTTCCTGTCTTTTTTGTAGGGGTTTCAGTATCTGTCTGCACCTCTTGAACCTACAGAGAGAATTACTGTCACTTCACCTCTCTCTACTAATGATATAAGACAATCTATCTGTCAGCTGAGAGAGAAAATTGAGAATATCTGTAAAGAGGAGATCCAAAAGATTTCTGGTAGGTAAAGCACATTCAATTACATAGTCTAGTATCATTTGAAAATCTTAGAATACATCTACACACATTGGATACTGTACAGTAGATAATTTCCTCTTTCCTTAAGAATTGCCTGTTTATGTTGATTTTCATAGTTAAACACATCAACATCGTTCTAAGGACCAGAAAGGACTTCCTACAAAGTAAGTTGCAAAGAAAACAAGTAAAATATATACACTGAGCATGCATGTATACATAATTTGAAAAATCATGAAAAATGTGTCTACATTATTCATAATCAGAGATTTCTCCACAACACACACAAAAAAATGTTGTTTATTCAGAAACAACTACACAAAAATGCTGTTTTATTCGACATAAGGTCCATCCTCATGGTGGCATCCATGTTAAGATCACATGGACAGAATTGAAAATTATATAGCACCATCCAGGACAGGAGTTTATAAAAAAAAGTACATGTAAGTTAAACAAGAAAACCAAACAATTTTACTGCAAATCACAATAAATAAATATAGCTGCAAGCAACACGTAACGGGGCCAAGCACACTAACAACAAAAAATAGGAATTCAAGACATTTTTAGATGATTCTAGTCAAAATGGCTGTAAAATCCTAAATACAATCACTAGTAATATGATTAAATTACTTACAACTTTTGACCAAAAGGTGGCTGCTGTGGTGTCAATATGCCTGTCACAGCTGGTTGCGGTAGAAAGCAGTCTTTAATAATATAATCCAAAACGGAAAGCAACTGGAGATCACAGGGAGTTAACACAACCATAAAAAGACTACACTGAATAAGAGGCTGTTTACATGAGACCGTTTTCAACTAAAAATGGAAAACTTTTTATGCGTTTTGGTTGTTCATTTACATGGCAGCGACGTATTAGGGGCCTAAAAACGCAAACTTTTGAAAATGGGTCTCAGAGTGCACGTTTTTGAAAACAATACCGTTATCGTCTCTGTCTAAAGTACAAAAACGCAAAACTGTGAAAACGGGGACGGGAAACACATGCGTATTACGTTTTTAGTCTATAGGCATGCGCGTTTTGTTTGAGTGCCCAGTAGAAGAATGCGTATGTGCGCAAACGCGTAGTCAAAGTGACATCGCTAACTACTGGCCTAGCATGCATAATACAGAGTTTTTAGTCGTTTCCGAAATTACTCATCGTCAGGGGGACGATGGACAGAGATGGAGCCATCTGAGAAGGAGTACCGGAGAAGGAGAAGTCGAAGAGCCAACGCGACATTGATGACACTGGAGACTGAGGCGGAGCCATGACGACGATCGTCCAAGGCGGAGCCAGATGGAGCCGAAGGCACAGGCAAGACGACGTTCGACCAAGGTGGAGTCGGAGGAATCAGGGAGCCCGATGGAGCCGCAGGGACGATGGTTTCTGGTGGAGCCGAGGGAGGGAGGAGCCAAGGTGGAGCCGATAGGTCGACAGTCAGAGGAATGATGGGTTCAGAATCTGGAGGTGGAGCCAGGGGATCCTTTAGACTAGGCAGAGATGGTAACCTGAAGATCTGAGGCAGAAGGGAACCAGCCGAGGCGGGGCTGTGGAACTGGCTGATTTGGGTGAGAGAGGGAGGCTGGGCAGGCAGTCAGGAAACTTAGGAAACTGTTGGTTGGGCGGGACCAGCAGGGACGGGAGAGACTGGAACTGCATCCAAAATTGCTTTCTTCTCTACTATATAGTAGGTGAAAAACAGTATGTGACAAAATAAGTATGTCCGAATTCACAGTACTCATAAAAGAGAATGCAAAAAGTACCCGGATAACCTACTTCTTTTGGCAAGATTCTGAAACGTGCATGCGACGGACACTTTACAATCCCATGACGCCACGGGAGAGGATTTTTGAAAAGCAGTGAAGTGACGTAACTGACGCTGTCACATGATAATGACATTGTCAACATGACGAATGTAGTACGTCCAGATTACATTCATTTTACACACACTCATACTATATAGAACATACTTTTTTAACAGTTGTTAAGTAATTACTAAGTACCTACTCGAGAAAGTAAGCGATTTCGGATGCAGCCAGGGGAATTACCTCCTCAAAAAGTTCCAAACAGTGTCCAGAGGCCAGGCTATACTCATCCACAGTGGCAGGGTTTTGGGCTGGGGTTCCCTCCAAGCCCTCGAAATCCACCAGCACTCCCTCGGTGATGCACGACCGTGCTCACACACCTGGTCAAACTCTGTGTGTTTAAGGCTCCAGGGCTGATGTCTCGTTCCATCCTCATTACAAGCTCAGGCTTGTACATCGCGACATGCTGAATTCCACGGTCTGCAGCGGGCTTTAGCGAATCCTCCATGCAGCTTACGGGCAGTGAATGGCTTGAGTCTGGGTCTGGAGTAGTCCTCCGCCGTGCGGATGGTGAATGCCAAATTTTTGTTTACCAGCACCCACTCCATGTAAGCGGCAAAATTGTTACGAGAACCGATGCCCCTCTTGTCCAGGCATAACAAAAGAATAGAATAGAATAATGGTGACAGGGTGGAGGGAAAAAACGCCTCAAAAATCACTGTTTTGTTTTGGTGTTCTGTCACAGCTGATTGCGGTAGTAAGCAGACAAAGACGTGAAACTCACCGATAAACTCACCGAGTGAAAAGCCTTTTATTACAAAATGGCAGATGCCCAAAATGGCCGGTATAGGAACATTGGATATTATTTGATACCCATTCAGTATGCTGCACTGAATCACAAGAGACCAGTTTTAGGTTTTTTGGGCAGATCAAAATATTTAAAAATTTTCTCACATGCAGTTCTATGGGCTTCCAAAAGTAGAAAAAGAAGGACGAATAATAATAAGAACCAACACACCTTCAGTGCTTGGCCCCTAATCATGATCATGTGGGCCGGTATATTCTATGATTCAAACATTAGTAGTAATTTCTGTAATAGTAATGTTCATTATATTATAAACATTTCAGTTCAATTCAAAAGATTATTTTTAAAACACTTTAATATTTACATGTTGACCGATCACTGATACATTTTATCTTCATCAGGTGCTCATCAATTCACACTTGATCCAAACACAGCGAATAAACACATTCGTCTGTCGGAGAGGAACAGAGTGGCTACTTACACTGACACAGTCCAGCGGTATCCTGATCATCCACACAAATTTGATGTTTATTATCAGGTGATGTGTGGAGAGAGAGTGTGTGAACGTTGTTACTGGGAGCTGGAGTGGAATGGTGATGTGGGTATATCAGTATCATATAAGCACATCAGCCGGAAGGGAACAAATACTAAGTGTTTGTTTGGATATAATGATCATTCCTGGAGTTTGTTCTGCTCTCCCTCCAAATACTCATTCAGGCACAATGATTTGGAGACTGACATCCCTGCAGCCTCCATCTGCTCTAGAATAGGAGTGTATGTGGATTGCAGTGCAGGAACTCTGTCCTTCTATGGCGTCTCTGACACAATGACCCTTATCTGCAGAGTTCAGGCCACATTCACTCATCCTCTCTATGCTGGATTTAGGCTGTACAATGGATCAACTGTAAAACTCTGTGATTTAACATTATAGAATACAGAGACATTGTAGCAGTAGTCCTGCCATACAGTAACAGTGTCAACCTGTTCTGTCTCCTAAGATGTCCAATAGTGGCATTTGTCCAAGAGCTCTGCACGTCACTATACAGACACCAAAAGTGATCTTTTTCATACTTTATATTAGGTGTCTTTACTTTCATAAAAAATCATAGGTACAATGTATTGTGTTGATGTTGTATTTTTTTTTTGTTTTAACGTTACGACAGCTGGGACGATGATCAGAATTTTTTCGATTTTTTTAATGAAATATTGACAGTTTTTTATCTACTTGTTTTATATTGTTTACAAGTGTTTAGGTTTGTAAGTAGGGTTTAGGTTATGTACTCAAACATATAACTGTAATGTGTGCTGGAAGGAGAGTAGGAGAGGCATGGATCTATTTGTATCTTTTATTCAAATGAACAAGGTGTAAATATCCATAAACGTAGGTGAAAACACTATACAAAGAAACACAAAACAGCTTAAAATCACTTAGTCAAGACAAGATCGGGAAAAATAAAAAAGAGAAAGAGAAGGCAATAAATACACAAGATAATGAGAACTAAACTAGACACAGGTGAAGATAACCAAGAAGAAAGGAAACCAAGAGAAACAGGAAATGAACAAAGGAAATGTGAACTTGGAACAACAGGAAGATATACTTCAAAATAAAAGTCCTAGGGAGACACAGACACAGGTGAAATGCAATAATAGTATACAATATATTTTAAACTGAAAATTAACTTGGTGGATATATGGGAGAAATATGAGTTTTTGTTTATGTGCAGGTTTGTGTGTTTTCATAATATTAATAAAATAATACTAATTTAGGTTTGAAATAATTGTTATAATTCTGAATTGAATTATTCTGAATAAAGTATTGACAATTTAGAGATTTGTTGTTCTTGTTTCAGAAAGAAATAAAGCACAATGATCATTTTCATTCTTTGATCAGATTTTATTTTTAATTAATTTTTCACAAGTGTTTTTGACTTTTAAACTGCTGTAATGCACTAAGAGTAATAATATTAATATGAAAACAAATATTATTACTATTAGTTTTGAAATTGAAAGATGATTGTTCTTAAACACTTTTTGTGGAATATGCTGGATTATTTCAAATGAATGTCTATGGATAACATTACTGAGTAAATACTTTGTAATTGTGGTTAAAAATAGTTTTGTGATATTTCTATTTTACTCCAGTACCTTTTTTTTTGGAGTGTTTTGGAAAGTTGATGTTCCCCCTCAGTCGAAAATTGCTCTATCATGAGCACATACAGTAGCACAAAATGCAATTTCATGTCAGCAAGACATGACTTAAAGCAGAGTATTAGCAGTCAGAATAAAAGACAGATGATCAAAAAGAAAGAAAATGCTCAAAATCCAAACTTTAATCAATTACAAACTTTAATTTATGACAGAGAGGGAGAAAGTGAGCGTGCAGATCAGCAAAGATTTATTGTGAAATGTGTCGAATAAAAACACGATGAAGTGTACTTTTCACATTTGGAAAAAAAAGTAAATGCATGGAAATCCATGTCTCTGTCCACTTCCGTGCATCAATCACTTCTTGGGACTACTCTAGATGCTTCTTTTTGGGTTATGAAAGTTCCATTGATGAATTAATTGAAGTCCTTGATGAATGATATAGAGTTGATTTTTGTTTATTAATGATGAAATAACAATATCTTAAATTTAAAAGATGAAAATTAATGTGAAATGTATTGACATTATCAGTTATCAAATACGGATGCGGATGTATTGCAAATTTGCTTTTCGCATTGGAGCCGAGCGGTTCTGCTCTGCAATCTTCGATGAGAGTGTTCTACGAGCCTTCTGTGCTTTGGGGAAGAAGCCTCTTCAGTCGGTGTTCGCGTTACGGTGCAATCTCTTAAAGAGCTTGCAAAAAACAGCTGTTTTCACAGCTCTTTAAAGAGTGAGAGCACACAGCGGGCTGCACTATATCCCTGCTTGTGGTGCCGCACCTTCATTGAGTGTGAGTGCACACAGCGGGCTGCACTGATTCCTGCTGATTGTGCCACGTTTTCAATGTGTGTGATTGCAAACAGCGGGCTGCCCTATTTCTGCTGGTTGTGCCACGGCCATTTCCCCTGTGCGCTTCAGCACCAGAGAGAGAGCTATTTTCCCTATAAGAGTTCTCTGGATGCGGCCGTTACCTGGCTCCGGCTGACAGTCACGTTCGTTGCCTCACATGTCTGGCTGTTAAGAACGCTGAGGGTGCTTTTGTGGATGAGTCATGTACCCATTGCGGGAGGATGACCATCTCGGAATTGCGGTCGAGACTTGAGTACCTTAGAAGAAGTGGAGTCCCTTTGCCTATCCCCTGATCTAGTTCCTCTTCTGGTGGCTACCAGAAAAGGGCTACTTCGGCTGATAGCTTTGGAGACCTGAGAATCAGAGTGAGGGCTTCTCCGCCGAGTAACTAATCTCCGTGGGCCCCTTACCCCTCTAGTATACCACAAGCTGTGGAGCTTCTGAAGGAGCGCGCTGGTCTCATGGGGCACCAGTCGTTTCCTTTGGGGGTCTGCCGGATGACCAGATTTCAATCGCTGCATCGGAGGGTGAGCTTGAGTCCTCCGGGGATGAAGATTCGGCTGCGTTGCCGCCTTCGGGGATCGAAGCGTTGTCCGAATGTGACCCAGAGCTGATGGATATGCTTTCCCGGGCCGCCGAGAGAGTCGAGCTAGAGTGAAGGCCTCCACCGTGTCCCGGTGCCACGAGGCTGGACGATTGGTTTCATGGGGCAGGGTGGGCGTCCCGTCCCGGTTCCTTTCTTTCCGGAAGTGCATGACAAGGTCAATAGATCATGGACGGCATCTTTTTCTGTCCGAAACCGTTGTAGTACCTCCTCCACCCTCACTACTCTCGATGTTGGGGCAGCTAAGGGGTACATGGAGATCCCCCCCGGTGGAGCAGTCGGTTGCAATGCAGTTGTGTCCAAAGACCGCTACCTCTTGGAGGGGTAATCCATGTCTCCCCTCCCGGACCTGTAAGTTCTCGTTCCCTCTGGCGGGCAAGTCTTACAGAGCCTGTGGAGAATGGCGCTCCTGCAGGTCTACCAGGCCAAAGCGCTAAAGGAATTGCATGAGGGTAGTTCCGACCCGGGGTCACTGAGCAATCCCTGGGTCGGGTGATGTCCACCTTAGGGGTCCAGGAACGCCATCTCTGGCTGAACCTGGAGGATATGCGTGAGCCCGACAAGGTCCAGTTCCTCAATGCCCCTATCTGCCAGGCCGGCCTTTTCTGTGACACGGTCGAGAACTTTACCCAGCAGTTCTTGGCTGCACAGATGCAGCCAAACTTGTGACTTTGAGTGTGTGCGTGTGTGTGTGTGTATAAATAACAAATATGGGAAATGAAACTAGACAGGTGTCTAAACTCGAAACTAAAAACAGAGTTTGGTTACCTAGTAACCAAAGGGCTTGTCTATGAAGAACCAATCAAATTAAGTAATGTTTCATGTCATTTTTTGCCATACCTCCTTATTCTATAAAACTGTTGTATTTGTGTTTACTAGAGGGATTCTCAATGGGATTTGTCTGAGATCCACCGGCCATGCTTATTGCTTCTTTTTGGGAGATTCTCTGAGAACTGCTCGAGACTCCCGGCCGTAATAAAGATCATTTAAAGGACAATTACTCAAGTCTGTCTGTTATGACTGCTGCGCAGCAGGCCAGTTTAGGGAAGCAAAGAAGTTAGGGTAAGAGACTCAGCGGTTGTCGACGGTAGACGCAGAGAGCCAGAGTATAAATAAGTATTGATTTGTAGACGCTCAGTGTCGATTAGAAGACGCGACAGATTTATTTATTAAAGGAGAACTCCGGCGCAAAATGAACCTTTGGTCTAATAAAACATTGGTACCTAGTCAACCGTTCTCTGAGATTTGTTTTCATGATGATCGAATGTAAAGAGTTTTATCTCTAAAAACTGTTTAGCGTATAACGCTAGTAATGGGGGCATCTATTAAGTAAAAATAAATCGCTAGTTTATACCACTAACAAGACTCAAAATAGCCCCACACTAACACAATAACATAATGAGGGTCCCTACATGCAAAACGAAGCATTGAGAACTTTGTAAGTGTACAGACCGTTTAATAAGAAGATATTTTATGAAGACAGTCCACTTCGTGTATACAGACAGGAGCCATCTTTGGAAAACAGTCTCGACTAATCAAACCACGAACGACGTGCTAAGTGAGCTGAACTGTATGAAGTTCAGTGAACTTCTGAACTGTATGAATGGCGTTCGTGGTTTGACTAGTCGAGACTGTTTTCCAAAGATGGCTCCTGTCTGTATACACGAAGTGGACTGTCTTCATTAAATATCTTCTTATTAAACGGTCTGTACACTTACAAAGTTCTCACAAAGTCATTCTAAACCACGGGTAAACTTGCTTTACGTTTCACATTGTTCATAATTATTGCCGACTGTTGTCAAGTTTATACTGAACAGACTTTTCAGACTATAAAAGTAAGAATGAAACGGTCACTTCTACAATTGTCGTGTTTTTAGTCACTATTTGACATTTGTTCCCTTGCTGAAACAGTCTATACTGTCAACACAGTGTTTCTGTGACAATACAAAGCCTGTGCATACGAGGCAACAGATGTGATTGACTGTCAGCCTTTAGACATAACATTCTAACATTGTAATAGGAATTTTAGTCGACTAGCTATGTAAGAAATTAGATCTTCTGATGGCCTTGTTGTCGATACTCGGAGGCTTCGAATGTTTTCCATTTGACTTTGCAGACCAATATGATGGGGTACTTAATTTTAGCAGTAGCAGCACAGGGGTGGGGAGCAACCCTGATTAAAAAATGCTTAAAAACAATGCCCATATAAAAATAAAAGATAGAAACACATACACGTTTCAAACTGAATTTAATTACAGATAATTAGGAAAATTTACTTGTAAAGGACCGACCAGTCTGAACAAAGAGCTAGTTATTAGCTATGATGGATTTGATCCAGTCAGTGTAGCGACACACCTCAGCATAAACCCCAGGAAAGCCTGGT